AAAGGACCCAAGAGTTGGGTAGTTGGGTTCAGGATAGTAGGTGAGTATGGGGAAGTGTATGATTATGAGGTACGCGGACCCTGGGGGGTGTGTTTAAAGGGGTCTATATGGATTCGATAGTGGGCTTCTACTTCTTAAAGGGTTCCTGTAAGGGCTCTATATGGGTTCTATAAGGGGGGGTTTTAGGGTTACTTCAAGGATCATGAGAATTCGTAGATTCGTAGCCAGGGTTATAGATAAAGTAGCTCCAATTATGGTACTGATGATGTTACGTACTGAGTCCCATGATCCTGAAAGTGTTTTTGGCAAAGAGTTCACGAGGAACGTGGCTCCACTTTTATGTGGGTATTGTCTCTGTGTTCGAAAGACTTGGGGATACACACTACACCTTCAAGAGGGACCTCTGTACGCAATGCCCTTACACTCTTCGACGCATTGAAGCAATGAACGCACAATAACTCACAAAAAGAAGACACATAATCACAACGACAACAACGTCATCATCAACAATCAGCAATATAGCACCTGCATCCCGAGTAGCAACAGCAGCAACGACAAAATTACATGAGTACTAACAGTAAGAATGACAAGAACAACGATGACGAAGACCATGTTGACAGCAGCAGCAGCGGCAGCGGCATCGACTGCAGCAACAGCCACAGCATCGACACCAACGACGACAACAACAACCACCGCGAACACGACTACGACCACGACGACGACGACAAAAGAGCGCACTCATTACTACGAAGACAATGCCTACCGGTGGCCGACAAAATCCAAACAACACTATTTCAACGGCGGAGACGAGCATTACTCGAAAAGACAGCACAACGACAATGTTGAATATTGCCTTTCTACACATCTCGTGAAATTGCTACAAACGAGAACACGTTTGACGCGGCTGCCTATTTGTTGGATTGTTTTTGATGAGCACCTTCTATTCATCATGGATGGTCGTCCTTTCTTCGCCATGGTTCATTTAATGTTTGTTCTTGCCAAGTCGTTCAGACCTGTTGTTTCACGGCGGTTCAAAACGCGATTGAGTGGAGCACGGTGACTGCGTGATGATGATGGTGATGATGATGACGATGAAGATCCATGATGCTGTTATGATGACGAGAGATAGTGTTGGGGATGACGCGCTGGCACTGCTTTCAAGGATATGTCAGTGTATGGGTTCTTGACGATGCTGTGCCAATATGTGCCAATAAGATAATGACCAGTCGGAATCTGGAGCAAATGCTTTTGCTGGTTATGCTGTTTCTTATGTTGATGGGATGGAATAGGGCCAAGGTGAAGCAGGTTCTGATTCTTGCGTGATGGTCACTGTCGTTGGGAGGGTGGTGTGCGATGGTGCTTGATGTTGATTGTGAGCAGTGTCCTGACATTGCCAAACTTTGACATTCTGGCTCTGTTGGAACAGCATAGGCCTGTAACCCGCGCAGGTGATCCATGTGGCGGCAGGACCCAGAGATTCAGCCGTTGGGGAAGGGAGGGTCTCCGACAGGGGACATCGAAGGCAACAGAGAGTCGAGAAAGAATTACATGGGTGGTTGTCAAAATTATGGTCCTTTTTTGGGTCCTTATTATAATACGGCATCTATTATTTAGGGTACCCCAAAAGGGACCATCATTTTGACAACTACCCACATGAATCCCAACGGAAGTGCGAGCCCTCAACATGGCTTGACCTGAAATCCTGATCATTCAGAGTGCAGACCTGCCCTTGTTCCCCGGAGTAAAACACCAATGTCGGCTTTTTCGGTTGTTGGAGTCCAGCAGGAGCCGATGCATAGATTTACGGAACCGATATGCGGTCGGGCAGCACTGTCGTTTATTTTCGGCACTTTGTTTCCGTTCCAGTTCGTAGTTTCTCATGTCCTGATAGTTGGAGTCGTACACCAAAGACACATGTGCAGGACTTGGCTACTGCTCAGTCGTGAGTCTTGCTGTATCCATGGGCCAGGCAAGGAAGGGAGTTGGCCCCAGCACCTTGGGTGCTTTGACCATGGCGCACCTTCCCCTAAACACTCCAATTAACTCTATAAGCCCCGTTAGAAACCCTAAACCCACCTAAAATTAAAGTATAAGCCCCCTGAAAACCCGAAGCCCTAAACACACCTAAACCTTTGGCGCCCTTCATCCCAGGGCAATCTTTCTACACACCCCAAAGCCTTCGTACCGCGCCTCCCAGCCTCGGCTTTGGGAGTTGGAGAGCTCGCATGTTTGGAAGATGACATGCTCTGTGGTCATGGGTTGGGTATGAGTATATGTGTGTGTATATATATATATATATTACTAGTAAATAAACAAATAGATAAATAGATACATTTTGCAGCAAAGCGCCACCAGGCCGTGAATTCCGCCTGCCGACTGCGGGGCGAGACAAGTGCCATGCTAGCTGCCGTCTTGTGGCTCGCATAGTGTGGTAGATACTAAGTGTTATTTTTGTAGTCTCATTTTTGTTTGAGGTATCCTTATGGATTTTGGACTTTGGATTTCGGCACGCTTTTTGGGATCAGGTGGAGAAATCCTCACATTCTATTGCTATTGTTTGGGGTTTTAGAAGAATTGAGTACCGGTAGGTTTGGCTTTGGTTTTCAGGGTGAGTGTACGGCTGCAGGTTACTGCGGGCTGGGGCGCTGGTGAATTTTGGAGTTTTGCTCTAGGGTCAGGTCGCGAGGTGTTGGGTTTTGGTTTGTGGAGGGTTTGAGCTTCGGGCTTTTAGCGGGGGAGCTCTGGGTTACGACGGTCTTTTGAAGTGGAGATGGCATCGTCATTGTCATGTGGTCCTTGGCGCGCGTGCTGGACAAATCTTGACAACAGGCAAGTTGTTGTTCATGCCCGTGGTTTAAACCTAATCTTAAGCCCTGAAGCGGATGACGGGTGTTAGGCAGGTGGCTCCTATGGCTGCAGTTCTACCCCTGAGCCATGAAACCGAAACCGCATGACAGAGACACGCTTGTCGAACGTACTATAGGGTTCGGAGTAACAAAAATACAATTCCGTTATGATGCTGTGTTATATTTTTCAGACAACGTATCCCAAAGTCCTGGTCTAATCTAGTCATTAAGGCCCCTATCTACTTTCTCGCTCAGGCAGGGGGGCATGTAGAAGTCCTGCGATGGCTGCTGCGGGCGAAGGCGCAGAGGGGCAAGGTTTAGGGTCTAGGGTAATGAGCTAGTATAAGTCCAAGAGTACCTCCAAACTGGCGCAAAATTAGGATTCTTGGGTGCCAGTGATTGTGTACAGGGCTTTAGTAATTGGGGCGCGGCCTGGAGGTCGGGCCCCTGCAAAGAAGGCAAAGACACGCAGATGTCCAAAGCACAGATGAGGTGCGAGCCTCTGGGACGAGACCCGAAGTCCAAGTGCTTGAAACTAAGAAACTGCATTATGCCTTCGTGAGCTGCACGAAAACAGTGCCTCAACCGAAGAGCCCTGGACGACACTGTCCAAGGCTGGTTTTTGTACTGCTCGAACACTCCGAGAGCAATGCAAATAATTAGTAGTATAGTAATACTAATAATCGCATTGATAACAGGAATACTACGGCAAACAACAAATGATAACAATGAATAGCTGCAGTAACACTAAGATGCAGCCTTGCACCCTGCCGGCTCGATCCTGAACCAGGACACCTTTGCGCAAAGTTCCAAGATCCTGCGCCCAGAAGCCCAAAGCCCACAACGGGCGACATCACATCATGCGAAAACGTCGTTCATCCGTGTAAAGCTCCCTGGCCCCGTAACTATGACAGACAGGACGATTCTCGTTAGAGTGCTAATTTGATGGCCATCCTCGCCCATGTGTATGGACAGTGAGGGTTTGAATCTATGACAACATGACATATGCTTCTGCATTAGAACGTATACTGTGATATACCCTAAACCCTATTCTAAGAATTGAGGCTTCTATATGAGGGAGCTGCTGGGTGTCTTACCCTGAAAACCCTCCAATCTTCTGCTCCATCGCCCTAAAGCCCAGACCAGAAGCCCTATGCCTTAAATCCTAATTCCCGAGATCTTAGGCCTGAAATTACTAAACTCGAAACCCTACTTGGAGGATCAGGGGACTTAGTAAGTAAGTTTATAGGCATCCTAGCTGGCCGCATAAGCACAATTATATAGCTATCTCATTTATAGGCCTAGTTACTAAGTACTGTGATCCTCTAAGTATCAGCCCTAAGCTTAAACCCGAAGCCCTAAACCCTAAACCCTAAACCCTAAACCCTGAACCCTAAACCCTAAACCCTGAACCCTAAACCCTAAACCCTAAACCCCTAAACCCTAAACCCAAAGCCCAAGATCAGGCAGACCTGTCCCTCCGAGCTCGAGACGGCTCCACGGCATTGCGCTGTGCACAGAGGCCCTAGGTCCCCCGGAGCTCCCGCACGCTACTTAAGGGATCCTGGACCTGTACTAACTTTAGGGTTTAGGGTTTAGGGTTTAGGGTTTAGGGTTTAGGGTTGATGATATAAACCCTGCATTACCTATAATATAAGGAATATACCATAACTCCCATAGTTTAGGGTCCTTCAGGTAGTGCAGGGTTTATATAATCAACAGTCAGTATCGTTATGCTTATAACTACTATATAATATACTCAACCTTAAGGGTCCATGTAGCCGAATAACCGTACTTACGCGAGGAGGGCCGCAAGAAGCTGAAAGCCATGCAGGCCCCAAACCTTGCATCAAGAACCCGTAGATCCCCGAATGTCTACAGTACCCCATCAGCTGGATTGCGTGCTCAACAGGAACATTGCCATGTCCATTCCCAGTCTGACATTCCGGAGCAGAGTACAGCAGGTAGCACAACAGGGCAGATACACCGTCGTTCAGAATTCTTTGCTACATTGCCGTGCAGTCCGGAGTGCAGAGGTATTTTGGTGCCCAGACAGATAGAACCCCGACGATGGGGTCTCGCATGGAAGAGACCTAGAAGTGGGTCATCTCATTCTCTAATTTGTCTCACCCCGCATCATCATCGATTTTGTTCATGTTGGATGAGCAGTGTGAAGCTGTCAGATCAAAGGCCGGGCTGATTCTCTGGCATGCGCTGGGACACCTTCAAGCAGCCGATGAGGAGCCTGATCCAGAGCAGATGTCGCGCGATGCGAGAACTGTGCGCGCCCTGACTTGGGACGTGCTCCACATCTTGAGCTTCCATTGGCGAGAAATGCCAGAGGCTGATGGCTCTTTGACCTTGGAGGCAACGGCTGCCTCGTGCTTCGACCGAATCTGCAAGGCCGCCGAGGCGATGCAGAGCATGGCAGCCGACGAGGGCTTCCGCTTGCAATGCATAACCCTGGCAACATTCGTCTTGCAGGCCACGAGGCAAATTGAAGATATTTTGGTAGCGAGTGGCGTTCCTACCGCAATCGTTTCCGAGGAGCCCGGGGCAGACTTCTACATCCCTGAGTCAGGGACTGAAGCAGAGTCCGGTGCCATCACAGCTCCGACACGAACTGCAGGCCCAGGGGACGCCTTCATCGGCAGCGCCACTGATGGAGAAGGGCTGGAACAAATTTTGGAAGGTCACCCAATGCTTGCGCAAGAGCCACGAGAAGGTGCCGGGCTACTGTAGATTCGCAGATCTAATCACTGCCTCCATACGTAGGGTCCTTTACTTTCTTGTATCCTCTCCGAGATGCCAACCTCCATAAATATGTCTGTGGCTCGTGGACATGTTTCTCCGGGTCAAGTGGGTCTCTTCGGGTTCGGCTGCTGCACGTTTTCCGATTGTGCATGGGCGTGTTGGCATGATTGGCATGTTGTTGACAGGCTCCTCCATTGCATTTTGGAGTTTGGTTCGTATCCTGATACGAACCGGGCATGTGATCACACAACGTCTACACGCATGAAAGTATGTATATGTCACATAACACACATGTACGTAGCTCCCGAGGTTTCCGCTTACAAGGGAGTACGACCCACATTCCCAGAGCCATCGTTGTTCACATGTCGGTTCCTTACAGCTTCCAGCGGTCCAGGACAAATCCTTGCACAAGTGCAACGCCTGGAGAATCAGCTGCAAGATCAGACTGTGGAGCACGGGGGCGAACTTGCCAACCTCGCAGCGACGCTACATAACCTGGGCTATGCAAAGATACAGGAGGGAGAAGCTGAAGGCGCCAGGCAGGCCTTGGACTACTTGCATCAGAGCTTGCAGATGAAGCGCTGCCTGCATCAAGGTGCGGACCATCTGAGCATTGCTAGAACGTTGCATGAGCTTGGCCGCGCGAGCAGTATTCTTGAAAATCGAGAAGAAGCCCAACGGTACTTTCTCGAGTCTTTGCACATGAGCCGGCGCCTGCATGGTAGTAGTGGTCATGGAGAGATTATTACGACGCTCTACTCTCTCAGCAATGAGCATTTTCTGTGCGAGGAGTTCCAGCAAGCCCAGAGGTGTTTGGAGGAGGCGCTGCATGTGGCAGAAAGCCTGTGGCCTGGTTACATGGACGACTGCTCGGACACATCGGACACGGACGGAAGCTCAGACCCTGAAAACGAGCATCAGGAACCGAGCGACGTTTCCAGTGACGGACACGGAAGCGGCCGTCATCCGCAGGACCGCGAGGACCGCATGCTTTGGGCCCGAGGCGCAAGGTGCATCGAGGCAGGCGACGACTGGGCGGACAACTTGCGGGAGCTTCTCCGAGGGCAAGATCTAGAGTTCTGCCGCATCCTCAACGCTGCTGGGAAGGTCCTGACAGTTCTCCCTTCCGCAGACTCCGCCGACTTGGAAGACACACCTCTCCCTGAAGACTTTCCGTTGCAAGTTTGGTTGGAGGCGTGCTTCACCCCGAGAAGTGTAGATGTAATCGAAACAAGTGGCGAGAGCCAAGTTTAGGAGTCTTGGCTTAGCATTTCCCACAATCATGGGTTGACTGTTGCGCGGCTACGTAAGCTCAACTCAAAGTTGTTCAACCCGCCCTTACAAGTTCCACGTCTTGAATCTTGCAGTGCTGCCAGGCACCCGGAATCCAGGACCGCTGGACCTTGTCATCGGTTTTGCATCTTCTCGCCCAGATGCATGGAGAAAATGGTGACTTCCAGGCCGCAGCGAATCTGTTTCAAAAGTCTCTTCTGGTGGCAGGTTGTCTTGCCGATCACAAGGATCATGAGTCGAAAGCTCGCTCGCTGCACGAGTGGGGACGTATATGTCACCTTGCCCAGGACTTCTCACAGGCAGTCTGCTGCTTGGAGGAGGCACTCCGCATGAAGAGATCTGTGTATGGGGACCAGGACACTGCCAGTGTCGCAAAGACGTTGGGCCTGCTCGGTCAAGTCATGTTCGACACTGGCGAGCTCGACCACGCCAAGCAGTTTCTAGTAGAGTCTCTGCAAATGCAGCGTTCCGTACATCGTACCGGACACCACTTGGATGTTTCGTTTACGCTGCGGGCACTTAGCCAAGTCTGCTCCGCGGGCCGAGAGTACGAGCAGTGCATAAGCTACCTGTGGGAGTGTCTCGAGATACAACAAGCAGTGCCTTGCAAATCTGTCGACCTGGCCCAAACACACATGGCATTAGGTGATGCATTTAACAAGACCGGAGACTACGACCAATGCAAATCTTGCCTATGCCGTGCCCTTCGTATTCTGCGCGAAGCACGTGCCGATGAGAACCGCCCTGACCTTGCTCTTTGTCTGCATGCACTTGGCCAAGTCACTTCGCGATGTGGTGATGTAAACGCAGGCATTGATCTTTTGGGAGAGTCTCTGCGCATTCAGCGGGCACTTTATCCAGATGAGGATCGCCAATCTACGGCGGTGACTTTGGGCGTTCTTGGGCAGCTGTGGGCTCGAGACGGAGACTTGTGGAAAGCCAGCAGATGTCTGCAGGAATCGCTGCGGATCCTGCGTTCAGTTGACCCGGAAGGTAGCTCGAATGCCGAGAACATTGTCAATACCGAGCGGCTACTTTCTCGGGTGTTGGTCGAAGCCAAGCGCATCGAATCAAAGATGCTTGCTTTGGCTTTGACATGCATTGGCTGTCTTGGCCTGGTAGCCGCTGGATTCTTCCGGCTCCGTAGATGGCGGTGACTGCCCGCAGGGTTTCATGATGCTCTCGTTGCGCTGCCCATTCAAAATTGAAGCCTGTCACCGTTGTGTGCAAGTCCAGCTGCCAGCACTGAGTGACTGCAAGTGCAAGCCAGCACGTGTGTGAGCTCCTGTGGGACTGATCCAGTGACTTGTGACCCCGATTATACTTAGGGTTTAGGGTATGTAGGGTTTTAGGGTTTAGGGTTTAGCCCGATTGGCGAAGTCCCATGCTCCTCCAAGAATGGTCGGGGGTTTAGGGTCCATCAGCGCGTGGATTTTGGTGTTAAGGGATTAGGGTTCAGTGGTTAGGGTTCAACGCCTTGGGGCAAGTAAAGAACGGAAATTTCATGCCCTTGCTACATATGTTCATAACCTGACGGTTCAGGGGTTGTACGTACCTAGACCTAGACCACCATGTACCCTGCGCTAAACCGTATATATACCCATATTACACTCATCTTCTTTTTTACAAGCCGACGTAGATATATGCCATATAGCATGGAGAAGCTTCGTTTCTGTCAAGCTCAGGTTCCAGTCTACGAGGCTGTACGGCCGTTTATATTTGGGTTTGCAGGTTGTGTGGTTAAAGGCTAAGGCAAAAAGGTAAACTGCTAACCTCTGGAAGTTAGGCCCAGGTCCCCGAAACCTACAATCTGCAGCCCGAGGACACGTCACAAGGGGCGTCCTACAGCCAACACCCTCAGAACCCAATTTCCGATCCGTTTCCGCACTCGTGATCATACGATCCCGGTAATGATACTTTCAGGTGGAGCCACATTAGATCCGCCTAGACCCTAAACCCTAAACCTTTTGAAGCTCAAGAACCCCTCCGAAACCCTCGTAGAGTATCTTTGTTAACTTTCCCTTACAGCTGCGCACTCTTATGGACTGAAACCAATAAAGCCGAAACCTAAACTTTATGAGCCCAATAGTCGCAGCAATCGAAAAATCCTCAGTCCACAAAGCAGTGCTTAGAGGGTCGGGGGATAATCCGAATTAGAATTCGGATCCCACTTAGGCCTTACTACCTAAACCCTAAAACCCCTCTCCAAGTACGGCCGCTCTTTGCAGGTGTGGTCAGAAGGAAGTCGTACGACTCCTGGAGGATCCTCTGTCCAGGCCACGGGGGGTTGAGCCCCGAATTTTCGCACTCTGGGAGTTGAAGGTTTAGGGTTTAGAGTTGAGGG